CTCGGAGTAGGATATAGTCGAAACACCACCATCTCATCGAATACAACAACAACAAGCATTTATCCCACTAAGTGGGGTAGACTACATGAACCCTTTTTCTCCTATTGAATGTCATATTTTCATTTAATTATAATAAATTAAGATCATTTTTTTATACAATATGCCCAAGTCTTTCTAGGTATACCTCTGCCTTAACATAAGTCGAATCTAAAACATTTACTCTCCTAACTGGATCATCAGATGATCAACGTTTAATATGACCAAACCATCTAAGACGACTCTTTCTAATTTTTTCTGTCGCTGGAGCTACACCAACCATATTACAGATATAAACATCAACTCTCCAAATGATATCTCTTCTCTGCAAGTCTCCCTTTTAGAGGGATTCAGATACCCTTCTCTTGGTCTCCTCTGATATTGAATTATGAAACGCCATGGCCTATCTTTTTCGTCGCTGAAATTATTCTTATGAAAAGGATTTAGGTCATCATCTTGATCTCCTTTTCAATTCTCCATATCTCGGTCAAAGGTAACATATTCCTGTGTTAATTTTTCAATCTCTGCAAGCCTTTGTTGAAGACGATGGAGCTCCCACCTTATCTCTTCCCGAGTAGGCTCTCCGAGGTGGCATGGCTAAGGCTAGGAATATGATCGTGAACGTAGGGGGGAAAGCGGAAGAGGTGGTTGAGAGTAGGAATGAAAATTTTTGGTGGAGGGGCAAAGTAAATGCTTGGAAACCCTAGGAAAGAATTGGGGTTGGACTACCTCTCATATCAAATGATACAGCAACTACTTAGAAATCCATGAAAACAAAAACAACTTTTATTAATATTGAAATAAGGTTACAACACGACACAAATGGAAAGGGAAATACAATGATATTCCAATCTCCGACTCGGACTAGAAGAGAAGATCCATGGTGGTGGTGGTGTCGGCGAAGTGGTAAGGGAGCAGGTCGAGGCTGGATGTTGTGAAGGGGGATCGAATGGGTGATTTAGAAGGCCAGTAGGTGAGTTAGAGCGAACAGGGAGTGGTTGGACAACAAGATTTGCCACCAGTAAAGTGGCGATTGGTGTGGGGATGAAGTTTGGGAAACTGGACAACAAGGTTATGTTGTTGAGGGAGGACAGTTGGGTGTTGGATGCATTAAAGGGAACTGGACAGCAGGTTATGTCGCTGGGAAGGGCTAGCTGGGCACTGAGAGGAAGTCTGGAAAGTTAGATCACAAGGTTATGTTGTTGGGGAAGAGTCGGCTGGATGCTGGGAGGTAGTCTGAGAAGCTGGACAACAAGGTTATGTTGTTGGGGAAGGGCGGTTGGGTGCTGGGATGAAGTGAGGGGAGACTGGCAACGGAGGATAAGGGACGTAGAAGGGTTAGGTAAGGATAAAAAGAAAGATACAACACCACCTCGGAGTAGGATACAACTGTAGCACCACCACCTCCTTGGATACTACACTATAAAAGAAAAAAGGACTTCACACAGAAAATCTGAAAGTAAACACAGCAAAAACTGAAAAAAAAAACTAAACTCAACACCCCCTATTTATAATGAGGACTAGGACTTATTTTAGGCAATGCTTAAAATAAGAAATAATAATAAGAAGAAGAATTCAGATTAGAAAATGACGAATAAACTAATAAAATTTCATATTAGGCAAGGATGAGTGACATAAATCAGAATTCAAAATTGATAAAGCCTTATAATAGGAAAGTACTACGAAGGACAGTGTGAGAGAGATAAATGAACGAGAGAGTAGGTCAGCAGCCCCTCACCTTGAGGACCGGTCAGTCACGTAAAGTGTCCTAAACTCTCCAGGCCGGCCCTCCATAGCCCTCGCATCATAATGATTCCTAGTATTATTTGTCTTATAACCCTTCATCTTAAAATCCAAAACTAATAATTGATGTTGAGTACTTAAATTCTCTCTTTTAAATTCTCTGTACTTAAATTCTCTCTTGGAATGACCTTACAATCTTTAAATTCTCGACGATCTCTTTTTCTTTTAAGAAAATAATCAATTTGTGTTTTATTAGGTTCATTCTTATAAGTAATAATATGTTCAACTCTTTTCTTGAATGAAGTGTTAGCAATAACAAAATCATATGTTAAAGCAAAATCTATATGACTCTACGTTCTTCATTAATTCTACGTTCTTCATTAATCACTTTCATTAATCACTCTAAAACCATAACCACCATGAATATTTCTAAAATCATCTACCACTTTACCAACATGTCAATTTAAATCTCCTCAAATAAAAACTTTCTTCAAGCGGTATTATTTGTATTAATTCTTCTAGGTTATTCCAAAATTTTTCTCTAGAATCTATATCAAATCCAATTTGAGGAGAATAAGCACTTATAACATTAAAAATTTAAGTATAAACAACAATCTTAAGGGATATAATTTTATGTTCAATTCTATTAATTTTTACAATATTATCTTTCAAACTCTTATCTAAAATTACACCTACACCATTTATATTGTGACTCCTAGCTAAATACTAAAGCTTAAAACCTAAGTTATCAATTTCTCCAAGTACATAAGATATTTATTTTCCTATGAACCATAATATCAACTATTTCCATTAATTTAACTGTGACAGTACTTATATTCCAAGATCTTATCTTAATATAGTTTTATGGACTAATTATTTTACCTGCATCCATCCATAATGCGGGAACCTTTCATTATTTGATACTACACCTGGGCGCTGGTATAGCGACCCTTCCACATTTTTCAATGTATTCGGGTCATACAATGTTTCGCTTCCAGAGGATGCTCTAACATTTGCATAAGGATCTAAAGAATGGATCTAAAGGTCGACTACCTAACGCAACCCTCCACTTTTTACATCCGGGAGTTGGGACCCTACAAAAGCAGCGTTAACATAATGGATTATCTAAAACTAAAATGGTAAATAGTCTAAGTGTCACTTTTACCTTTCACTATAATGATATTACATAAAAAGATGCTAAGCTGCCCAACCAAGAACCCAAAAAAAAGTCTTCAAGAAATGGATGGAGAGAGAGTCGAAGGGAGGGAGGGCTTATTGCCCTAATACGACTGGATAACAATCCATTTGTGCCATAGAAGCATGCCAACTCATCAAGATATCTTTAGGATTATGAGTTGGATAGTGTAGCATTACTCTTAAATAAAAGGACCAACCATATTTACAGATCTAATTGATTTTTTTCAAAGTTAATTTACACTAGAGTCTACATCTGATTTGCAGCATATAACTCTATTTATACTACTAAGCAAGGTTAACCAGAAAAATTAAGAAGTTAGCTGTGTGTTTTGCTTCTTCCCATCATTCCATAGTCTCATTGCACCCCTAAATCTCAAATGATTGAGATGTTAAAATTTTTAACTTGTGATTTTTGCCCATGTTTCCTTATTAACTTAGAAGTTATTCTATAATTTTTTGTTAGATGATATTTAAAATGACTTTTAATACTCAATTAAAGAATCATTTGATTGCAAAAAAAAATTGAAGATTCAATAAAAGAATCACTTTATTAGTTACACTATTCTAGGGCTCTTAAAATGTGTTTGGGAAGTGGATTTTGTGGGGAGATGGTTATAAAATGGCAAGGGAATGAAAATACAGACAGTCAACGATGTTCAGCAGTTGTCCAAACTAAAAACACGAGGCGTGTGACAAAATGATGTGTTACGGATAACTAGAAGGTTCACCACTTGTTCCTGAACAAGCTACGACTACACCAATTGCAAAAAGGAAAATGATACAACACTCCAAAAGGTAGAAATCACAACCTCCAAAATATTTAAAACCAAGTAAAAGTTGTTCTAACAAAAAAATCAACACAAATAAACTCCTAATAAAAAGCAAGCCAAAATAGAAAATAAATAAAATGAAAGAAACACATCGAGTAGAAGTTGATAACGGGTTGAAAAAGCATGGTTCGATCTCTTCCACAATCGCAAAAATCGTCAATTCCGTGGGATCGCAGAATCACGTGATCATGATCAAGGAAATCATATGATGGGGATTTAGGATATCCGATTCCACGATTTTGCGAACGTTCCTATGTCAATTAGCCTAGGTCTCCTAACATTTTCACACAAGTCATTTTCACTACACTTAACAATATGGTTATGTCCTTCAAGGTTTCAGAGTTGGATAATTGGAGCTCTCCTTTCATTAACAACACGAAGGCTTTTGCACCTTTGGTCAATCCTTATTTTAGCAGATTTCAAACCTGACTTATGCTTGACCTTGCCATGTTTGATGGACAACTTCGATAAGGATATACTCACAAATTTCAGCTCAACATATAAGACACTTGAATTGAAAATATTTCCATCGACTTACAAAGCATCCTTTTTTTTTAACAATACAACTATCAAGTCAGTTCAGATGGTTGTTTTTATACAAGAAAAAGGTTCGTGTACATAACAGAAAATCTTTTAAAAAATTTTAGAATATATCTCATATCCTGAGAAAAAACTTAGATCTATGAAAGACAATCCTCATTTACAAACAAACTTTATAGTTAGAACTACATGAGAAATAACATAGTTTGTTAGGTCTTGCCAACAATAACTTGGTTTTTTTCTTTTCTTTTCAAGTTCAATAAATTGATGATGCTATTAAAAACTGTCTGAAGATCTATATCAAAAGTGAAATCAGAAGATTATGAAATTAATATCTACTCAATTTGATCCCAAAGAATAGTTTGTATGGTGGTGAATTTTCTTTCAAATTTTTTGCTTTTAGAAGATAAATGAACAGATTGCACGATGCACCTTTGATCTAAATACAAGGGTTATTAACTGCCTATTAGCTATTTCCCTGCAATTTGATTCATAAAAAATGGCATGATAGAGTAATGAAATGTTCATGTCTAATTTCATATAAATTCAAGTATTTCCGACTCTTACTTACAATCAAAATAAAAAAAACAAATAAACAAATAAAACAAAACAAAACTTTTTATGAAAAAAATGTTAGAGGAAACCTTTCTTTACCTTCAGAAGACTCAGGCAGGTATTTGGCAAGTCGATATTTCTGCAAACCATCAAAATAATAACACAAGTCTTGCAAATACGTTTTACAAAGCTGGACAACTATTTAAACTAAGAAACCTGCAAATGACTCTTGATATGGTAGATTGTCAATCCATCTAAATCCATCAGTTTCAATATCCCCTTTGGAGTCGCCTCTACAACTCAAAAAAAATTACAAAAATAAAAAATTAAATAAAAAAAAATTCAACAAGGTTATCATTTTCATAAGAGAGCATCTACAACTTAGTAAAGTTCTGCCATGTGAATCAAAATTTTCTCTCTACTTACTCTCTGCGCCTCCAAGGCAATTCACGCACTCGATAAATTTCTCATGAAGATTTGGCGTCCACCTAATTCGTGTTTTACTTGGGAGCGGACTTCTTAAATTAGGATTAAATGAAGTAACAGGAACAACTATGGAAGCCTCTGAGTGTTTCTCAACATTTTGAATCTGGAAATTTGGATTTCTCACCAAAAAGTTTTCAAGATTGTATTTAACCTTCAACAAAAACCATCAATTAGAACCAAAAATTCTGTTCTTCAAGAGAAAAACAGTAAATTATTGTTAAAACTTACAGAAGATCTATCAGCCGTTCCAAGTGAAGCTAACTGTCTTTTGTTCAAGTTGGAATCCAAGCCTTCTTCAGTGCTTTGAGCAACGGATTGAGCCAAAACATCTTGATGATGTCTGTAAAAAAGCTTTTGCCTTTTATCACAAGCTGCGGAGGTTCCATATTCATGTAAAGGGAGCTTGACTTCTGATTCAAATGTCTGCCATGAATAAGAAACATCTCTTTTCTTCTCTGGTCTGAAAGAGAATTGAGAGGCCGAAGAAACTGAGGAACAGAAGGAACTCACAGGTGGCTCAAATAACGAAGGGGAGCGAACTTGGGGCTCAAACTGAGGAAAATCCATCAAATATTCAGCAGAAGGAAAGGTGGAAGTTGCAGATCCCACAGATTTAGAAAAAGCTCTTGAGGTATTACAAGGAGGCAATGCTGAGCCTTCCCCAGAACGAGAAAAGTTGCTGGAGGAGTCCAGATTGTTTTTCCATGGACTACAATCAGATAACAAAGAAAAGCAATTAACTTTTTCACTGGAAGGGCTTAGAAACTCAGAAGAGGAGCAATTCAATGATCCATAGGTAGGTTCACAACATCCAATCTTCTTAGTATTCATTTAGATAAACTTGAGAAACAACCAACGAGTAGCAACAAACTTCTAGGTAGGAAAAGCTTATTATAGCTTGGCATTTATTTATATTAAAATAAATAATGCACCAAATGAGATAGCAAAAAGCAAGCTGCTCACACTGCTGCCAATTTTCAAAGATTCCAGTTGAAGAATCTACTTCTTATATTCCCATAAGCTTGATATTGAAGATATTAAGTAAAGATAAGGGAATAGTCACATTTCAGTCTAAATGCTTCTAATAAAAATGGAGATAAAAAATGCTTTGTTAAAGTGCACTAAAAATATGATAGAAACGACACACACTAAGGAAACACCTACGAATACAGAATGAAAAGAGAATGATGAAGATGGAATGGAACTTTTGTGTTGCTTCAAGAACAATAGGTGTCATCATGCCTAAATTAACACATGTGATAAATATTTATAGTATTTATTTATATAACATACACTCATTATTAAGAATATGCTCCTTGTTGTGTTTTCCTTTGTCTTTCTTTTCATATGCCTATATATAAGCTTTCCACACTGTCAAATTCAATGCTCTTTTCCTATCTCTCTCACTTTGATAGTCAAACTTCCTTTTTGCAATATGTAGTAAAGTCAACGTTGTCCTATCTTAAGCAAGTAACCACATTTTCACCATGCCAAAAGAAATTGCATGTCCACGAGATTGTTGCCTCAAATTTTGCCAAGTGCCACAAACCAGCCTCACATTCTAAACTACTTGCACCAGTCTCACACTTCAAGTGACTAAAACAATCACCATCCACTTTGATCTTGTTGATGACAACAACACAAAGAACTCTCTGACACCATTGAGTGCATCCAAATTCATGATCCAAAAAGCTACCCTTCCTGTGGGGTCGCTCATTTTCATCGTCAATCTCGTGTTACTAACTTGGATCCAGTGTTGCTGTCATTGGATCTTGCATTTCCAGACAACCATATGGTGTGCTCTACGTTACTCTGATGTGAATACCTTCTCCTAGCAGATTTAACATTGCTAATTAGTCAGGCCACACATGTCCTCCTACTTGGGCAATATGTGCCAAGTCGATGCCTCCCTAGTCATCATCTGTCAACTAGCTTGAGCAAACCTGTCACTCCCAAATTCAAGTTACTAACTTCAATTATTCTTCATTCCTCTATGGTCATTTATTTCCAAATTCAAGTTGACAACTTTAATAAAACCTTAAATGTGCCGAGGAAAATTAGCATATCAAAATTATCAAATGCAACAATTATTTATGGTATGAATCTTAGCATTTAATATTATAATATATGTACATTATTGTGGACATGCTCCTTTGTCATGTATTCTTTTATTGCTCTCTTCATGAACCTATATGTAGGCGCATATTTGCTTCTCTAAGACAATAATTGAGTAAAGGATGTAAGTATTGTCTTAGGTAGGAGGATAGATTCAGAACATAATGTAAGCTTATAGAAATTTCTGGAGAGATATTAGGCCAATGGGAAGAGGCTGTGGCACGTCAAAACAATAAAAGATGACAGTACTAAAGAAAGGCACTTTTCATTAGCATTCCAAAGAGATGAAATTCGTTCAAATCAACTAAAAAAGAATAGGAAGATTTACATACACACCACTCAATTCTTATGTATCCACATATCTAACACCAAAACTTCAATTTTTACATATATGCTTTACATATATGTACATATATGCCACCTTACTTGTGCATGAAAAGGTGTATTTCACTTTTTAAAAGTTAAAATAGTGGCATTTTTAATGTGACATAAAAGATTTGGGTGGTATTAATGTAAACAAGCAAACTTTAAGTGTTAGATATGTAAAATCAAAAGAATTGGGCGGTATGTATAAACTAGTGATGGCAAATCAAATCAGGAAAACCTTCGATGCTTTCACCAAAACAGAAGTGCGATGTTAACAGAAACATGAATCACAAATCATCCAATGACAAAACCATGAATTTTAACAAAAAGAAAAACCAAACTCTAATTTGATGGTTAAAATGTTGTAAGCCAATGCAGGTGCAAGAAGAAATATTGAAATTATTCCAAAAAAAAACACCAAAAAATAATCAATTCACCCTAAAATTAGAAAACCGAATGGGTTCCTTTTATAAAAGCAAACTGTTGCTATTTAACCAAAGAATGACCAAAAATTGGATTTTTATGCCAAAAAAAAAATTTGACAATTTTTTTTTTCAAGCTCTTATTGGAACTCCACATTGCAATATCAAGTTAAAGAGCAAAACCTCGGGGATATTAGCCTTGAAATTTTCTTCATACAAAGGACTGAAGCCATAACAGTAACCAAAAACAGAAACAATGGTAAGGGAAGAATAAAAATTGTACATAGATAACCTTCTAGCTCTGAAGTCGCTGAACACTATGAGACAGTAAGAGCAGAGCGCGGGGTACTAAAGGGGGACGGTAGCTGCATTACCTTGTGCGGTACTACGGGGGCAAAATGACCTCATGATCGAAACATTGCTATTTATAAATCAGCCACTCTTTTTCCCACATTTTTCAAATTCTCACTCAAATATCAAAATTTAGATTAAAATTTCAATCTATATATCTTATTTTGATCAAAATCTCAATAATTTAATCATATCATGCATAAATACATTGATACAGTAGTGCAACAAAATCACCTAAACGTTTTATTTATAAATATCATTGTTTCTAGTACTCTATATGTAATTATTTTTTATATATATATATATATGAAATAATTATTTAAAGAGGGAAACATAGTAACTACGAACTTTTGAAAAGTGGTTATGTTAAGGTTTGTTTGGTTGCTTTTCTTTTCCATCTTTTTTGCCATAGCCGACAAGCTTTGATCCTTTGGGTTATTGTTTGGCGAGGGGCTTAGCCCCTTCTCTCCTCTCTCTTCTCTATGGAGCTTATTTTTTTCATCCTCTCTCATCTACACCTTCAAGATCCATTCTTGGTAGACCTCCACCGATCGATTAGAAAATATTTTCTCTTCTCATCTCTCCAACTTGTCTTCTTTTAATCATTCTTTTATTTCGTGGTCAAAAGATAAATTTATATTCTATAAGGAGGGGATTGTTGTTAGTTCGAAGCAATAGATTTTAGCCTTAGTTGTCAATGCACTTGGGAAGAGACCTTTCTTTGGTAATGTTCAACAATCTATTCATAACATTTGGAAGCTAAAATTGAGCGTTGCTCTGTTATTTCTCATTGAAGAGTTTTTTTCTTTTTAAATTTTTGTGTCGGGAAGATCTTGAAAAGGTCGAGGATGAGTGTCCTTATTTTATCTCTGGAAAGTCTTTTATATTTAAATAGTGGACTCCAGATTTTAGCCCTGTTAAGGAGGATTTCATGGAAGTACCTATATGGATTATGCTCTTTAATCTTCCACTTTGTTGTTGGTTAGAAATTAAAATTTCTAAGATTGTGATAAGGTTGGAGTGCATTTGTCTATTGATCCTCTGACTATTAGAGGCTCTACACTCACTTTCGCTAGAGTTAGTGCTTAAATTTCACCCAATATTTTTTTTAGAGTATGTTAAGATATCTATGAGGGGTAAAGATGTTACACAGACAATCATATATGAATGTAACCCTATCCTTTCCAATTTTTGTGACACTTTTGCTCATGAACTCACTTCTTGTCACAAATCTTCCTACAACAAACCCTCTATTCTAGTTCATCCTGTTAATTGTGGTAGAAGTTGTTCACATGTGCCTACCAAATATAGTATCCCAAGGAATCATAACATTGTTATGAATCAAGTTAAACCACCTTGACTTTTCCTACCATTATTGATTTGCCCACTTCATATTTGATTATACTTGCTCTTTCACCAGTAAGTAGTAGTAATCATGTAATTTTTTCTTCTAAACAATTAAAGATGTTTCTTGTTTCATATTTTAGAAGTCAATTTCCTACATCATCAGTTATTCGGTCTTCCTCGCCTCCTCTTGTATCCATTAATGTTTTTGAAGGCATATAAGGAAAAATTATCCCCAACCCCCCCCCACCCCCCCCCCCCCCCCCCTCAAAATAATTCAAAGAGAAAGAAAGAAAGGTCGAAGGGAGAGTCCTCCCAATCCTCCCAACATTAATTATGTCTGTATTCTTTACCATTATTACTTGGAATGTTAAATGATTTGAGAGTCATTGATTGCATGAATCTCTTTAAAGTGAATTTGATGTGTCTTCTTGAAACTAAGATCAAAGATGACCTAATTTCTATCCTTTTATTGGGAGGCAATTCTCCTTATTTTCTAATGAATATGATGTCCATAATTTTGGAATTTCCTTGTTATTTATTTTATTGCTCTTCAAATTAATGCTCAATTTATTCATGGCGAACTAGTTTTTTTATAAAGTAAGAAATTTTTCATTACCTTTATTTATGTTCAAAACGACCCCACAAAGCGAAAAGACTTATGACATTTTATTATTAAACTTAGGCTATATTTCAGAATGATTTGATTATTCATTGATGATTTTAATATTATTAGATTTTCTCATAAAAAAATTGGTGGTATGTCTATTTCTAATAAGCTTACAGACTTCAATGACTATATTTTTTAGTTTGGTCTCATGGATCTTCATAACATGGGGTAAATAAAATGATTTCCTTTTAAAGTGTCTTTTGGATAGGGTTTTTCGTAATCAAATTTGGATATCTCAATATTCTTATTCTTATTAAAAAATTATTCAATGTTTTTTTTTTTCTTTTGATCATTCCCCTGTACTTCTTTCCTTGAGGCATAAGTTTAATCATAATTATTGATTTCTAAATAAGAATTATTGGAGTACATGTGAGAATATTCAAAATATTATTTCAAATATTTGGGAATTACCTTCTATTGGTGATCCAATTTTTAACATGTGTGATAAACTTAAGAAGACGAAGATTAGTCTAAAAAAATTAGCTTGCTACTATTCTAATGTTATTGTTAACTCCATCTTGGAGATTATGGTTGTTATACAAATTTCCTTTTAATAAGGATATTTGTGAAAAGGCTTTACTTATTCAAGGTAAGCTTATAGATGCCTTATCTTGTGAGAGTGATTAGATTAAATAGCAAACAAAGTGTGCTTGGCTTAGTAAAGGAGAAGAAAATCTCAAGTTTCTTTATCAAAGGATTAAAGTTATACAAAACATGAATTATATTAGGGAGCTAATTTATAAGAATGACTAACTTAATTCTCATATAAAAATTATTATTAAAGCATTGGATTATTTTTCTTTCATTCTTAATAACTATGAGTCTTTTGAAAATTAGTTCAACATTTATTTATATTCTAAACTTTCTTTTTGTTATTGATGAGGAAGCTTTAATTATTAATTTTAGTGATGAGGAGGTTAAAAGGGCATTTTTTAGCCTTGGGACTAATATGGCCTCTGAACCTAATGGCTTTAACTTAATATTTTTGAAAGAATCTTGGGAGATTGTTAGATTCTTTGCACCTTGGATGTAAAGTATTTTTTCACTACTTATAAGCTCCCTAGTAGAGTTAGGCATTATTTTATCGCTCTTATGTTGGTTTCCTACACCTTTGATTGTTATTGTTCCATCGAAAATTAAAGTAGTTTTTTTAGTCTGGGTTGTATGTGTTGGATATGGGGTGTTCATCCTATTGCCCATGTCATTGAGGGGGATCTCTAAGGCTAAGGTGGTATAATCTTCTACTAGTCCATAACTCACCTCCTCACATTGTAGGGATCCTTGCACTGAATTCATCCTAAATTTATCTAACTTCTTAGAAATGACAGCTACTTGCACGACTAGAATAGACAAAACTTCAGTGGTGTGCACAATCACTACTTTTTTTTGGATGACTCTTTCAAAAGACCATTGAAAGATATTGCTGGTCATTTCTTAGAAATGACAGTTACTTGCGCAACTAGGATAGAAAAAACTTCAGTGGTGTGCACAATCACCACTTTTTTTTATGACTCTCTCAGAAGACCATTGAAAGATACTACTGGTCATTTCCTCAATTAGTTTGTATGCTTCCTCAAATGGCTTTAATCTCGCAGTTATAGCATCTATAATAGATCATAAGGAATCTACTAGCATGTTGTAAGAGGTTTGGATGATAAGTCAACCGAGAAGAGCATGGTATGAGCACTTTCTAAGTAACTCCTTGAAACTCTCTCAAGCCTCATAAATTGACTCTTCATCTACCTGGGTGAATGAGGTAATTTCATTCTTAAGCTTGACAATCATAGATAGAGGAAAGTAATTCGCTAAGAACTTCTGATCTAGGTCAGTTCAAGTGGTGATGGATCTTGGAGTTATGGAGGTCAACCACATCTTAGCTTTATCCCTTAGTGAGAAAGAGAAAATTCTTAGTCTAATTGTATCGTTGGGGACATATACCTATATGTGACCCATAATTCTACGAAGTTGGCTAAGTGAAGGTTAGGGTTCTCAGTGGGTGATCCATCAAATTGGTTGTTTTGCTTCATTTGGACTATGTCAGGTCTCAAATCAAAGGAATTTGCTTCTAAAATAGAGTAATTAATGCTTATATAGATCTCTTCTGTCGATGGGGTTGCATACTCCCTACGATCATGACAGTTAGTCATCTTGAGTGTGTCTCTCACAATTTTTTTTTAATTCACCTAAGTTGTCTAAAGGATTGCTCAATTTTTGGGTCAAGTGACAACAATGCAAAGCTACTCAAATGCATGTAAATATGGGTGTGAAAAGGGTGGTCCTACGCTAACACACGAAATGCGACAAAAGAAAGAAAAACAGGAACAAAGTGCAAGGCCACATATGGTGATCATAAAACATGAAAGTAAGAAAAAACATATTTATTCATTTATTTTTGCATTTTTGGTTTTTCGTTAGCTTTTAGGCTTTTTGGAACATACAACAAGAATAACAATGCAACACACAAGCAAAACATAAAAATTTAAAAAATCAATAATTAGAAATTGAAAATGTTCAAACATATTGTAAGTTGTTCAACTAAAATTCTCCTCAATACATAATTTTTTTACTCCTTTTCCCAGTAACAATGCCAAAAACTTGATAATCAAAATTATTGTGAAGCATATTGGTTAACCGCACAAGTATACATGTTGATCAAGTAATATACAAAAAAAAGCCACATAACAATCTCATGAGAAAATAGTCGAAAAAAGTTTCTAGCAGCGGAAGCTGTAATTTACTACACTACTGACATAGTTTTAAGTGATCTCAATTATATGAATGAAATTCTAAAGATCCTAAGAGAAAGAGCAAAAAAAAAAAGAAAGAAAGAAAGTAATAATAGAAAACATGGAGTACTTAGCATCTGTCAGTGAAGTAGGGCTCATGCTCCTGTGACTCAGATGTA